TGTGCTCAGTAATTGCTCCTTCCCCCATGCTAGTCTATAGCAAGTTCCCTCTCAGCATTGTGTCTAGTTTCTGTTCAGATTACCAGTACATACTGATACTACTGGATGGAAAGGGGCATTTTTAGAGTCAAATTTCATTCCTGAGAACACAAAATGTCAATGTAGTCTTGGCTGGACCTCTTAACCCAGAGTTTATGTGGCTAACCATTATGTCACAGCACTTCCCATGTGTCAGGGAAAATCTGTATTACTAAACACAAAAAGTGCATTTAATTTTTGCCATAACTACATTCATTTTTATGCATTTATTGGAGTGGGTGTGCTTACTGGAATGAGAGCGCTTGCTTAATAGGAATGCTTATTTATAAAAAAAATTTGAGGGGGTGCTTATTAGAGAGGGAATGTTTATCGGAAGGAGGGTGCTATGTCATATCATTACAGTAATCAATGAGATTTTTGCGTCTTTATCCAATTCATTATAAAGAAAATTTAATTTGAAGAATGCTGTTTTGAATGGGCCTTTAAGCAAGGTAATAAATACTGATTTTTCTATGGGTTCTTTGTTCTAAATTATTATTCAGCCTCGCACTCCCCTGGAGGAAGAAGTTGCTGCAGTTCTGAGGGGGAGCAGTCATGTTCTTGAGCGGAGGAACAAGGAGCTGACAGAAGAAGAAGAGAAAGCATTACTTGGCATGGATTTAGAGGAGGTAAGGCAGAATGATACAATTACTAGAACATGGTGTCTTACCACTTTAACTCTCATGAGGGACCAAGACAGAATTTCTCCTTGAGATAATTTTTTCCCAGAGAAAAACTAGATATGACACAATCAAGACAGTTACTGCCTAGTTGCAAAGAGGCTTTACTTACTGTTTAAGGCAAAACATCTGACATCTCAAATTTGGGTAGTTTGGAGTGATACTTGACATGCTGCTAAATTATATCTTTTTCAGGCAAAGGAGAGAAGACATGAATTACAGAAGCTACGAGCACTGCAGTCTTATTATGAAGCAAAATGTCGTAGGATGAAGAAAATCAAAAGCAAAAAGTAGGTTTCTTTTTTTTGAGATTTATTATAACTCTTATTTGCTTAAAGAGCTATTTACTTCCTTCTCAGTTTTTTTAATTGAATATTATATTTCATGTTAACGGTAGATATCATTGGGTAAAACAACATTGAAAAAAGTAATTTTTATTTTAAAAAAAACAAAACCCAACAAACAACCAAAAAAAAAGAAATAACCTTTAAGTGGTGTAGTAGTTTGTGTGCCAGTTTGCAGTAATTCTTCAGAATGTCAATAATGGTCCTCCTCAACCTTCAACCCCTAAGAGTGATGAGCATCTAATTTCTCTGTACAATATCACCACTGAGTTATACTTTAAGGTCTTGAGAATAAAGGAAATGATCACCAGCTAGAGATAGCCTGATTGTTAAACAAATTCTCCTTGTCAGCACTGCAGAAAATGTTTAGGGAGTAGTATGGAGAATATGCATACCAATGTGTTAAAGGTTGAGGAAGACTGGTTGTATATAAGCAAAAAGTAGGTTTCCTATTGAGAGATTTATTATAACTCTTACTTGCTCAAAGAGCTATCTACTTCCCTATCAGCAGAGCTGACAGTTTACATGACAACAGTGTAATATGTGGTGCTGAGTTCCTATTTCGATAAGAATCAATGTTTATAGCATCCAGCAAAGATAACTCAGCAATGACGTAGAAGGCAGAGTTTATCTTGGTTTCCACAGCATGAAGCAATTAGGAGTATTACTAACTCTGCATAGGATACCATAATTGTTCATTGGTTAGCAGTTTTGTGAATTGAATGTTATATTTTGTGTTAATGGTAGATATCATCGGGTAAAGCGGAAAGCTGAGAAACGTGCAGCTGAAAAAAGAGTTGAAGAAGATCCTCAGGCAGAAGATGATAAAGATGCTTTGGAAAAAGTTGAAAAACTAAGAGCTGAGGTGATCATTTTCCTTCTGTTCCAGTGTTTGTTAAGTTCCCTACACTGTGACTTACTGACATGCAATGTGTCCGCACAATTTTGATAAATTATTACGAATTAGATTGGCTATACTTATTAGTCAGGGGTAGCTGATCTGATACCAAATTTTCTGAAGTTATTTACAAGCAAATGTTTAGCAACTGGAAGGAAGAAAAACTAATAAATTCTTGTGTTCTTAGGAACGTATGTCACTCAAACATCGGAATACTTCAAAGTGGGCCAAGCACCTCATAACTAAAGCAGGAAAGAATGCAGATGTAAGTTTTTTTGTCCAGGTTTATTAATGTTTCCATGGTTAATCTTCATACTTTCCAGTTCTTCATTTTCAAGCAAACTTTGTGAACCTCTCTTAACTGTTTTTTTCTCAATTATTTTGGTTATCAGGCTAAGAAATTACTGCAAGAACAACTACGTATCAGCCGAAACTTGACACAGAAAGCTGCAGAGTCAGAAAGTGATGAAGAAATGGAGGCACCAACGCAAGAGCCAGGTTTGGAAGATAATGAAGAGGAATCAGACAGTTATGGAAATCTTGTTACTTCTGAGGACAATCCATGGAAGCTTGACACAAGTGGGGCAGGATTTCATTCATTAGAAACTTCAAACAACGTTGACAATGGTAATTTTTATTTTAAAAAAAACAAACAAACAAACAAAAAAAGAGATAACCTCTAATTGATGTAGTAGTTTGTGTGCCAGTTTGCAGCAATTCTTCAGAGTGTCAATAATGCTCCTCCTCGACTCTTCAACCCCTAAGAGTGATAAGCATCTAATTTCTCTGTACAGTATCACCCCCGAATTACACTTTAAGGTCTTGAGAATAAAGGAAATGATCACCAGCTAGAGATAGCCTGATTGTTAAACAAATTCTCCTTGTCAGCACTACAGAAAATGTGTAGGAAGTAGTATGGAGAATATGCATACTAATGTGTTAAGGGTTGAGGAACACTGGTTGTATATGAGGCGATAGTAAGAGTATTCCTAATAGTTTTAAACCTTTGACTCCTCTGACGTAGTTCTTATTAAAGCTTTCTTGCGCTGTCAAGCAAACAAAGAATAACACATTTAATAGTCCTTTCATCCTACCCTGATATAACACGAATTCTCAAGATTGGGCAACAGAGAAGTGTGTCATTATAGGCGAGAAAAATATATGGCCAGCCTTTGAAGTACTCTATTCATGTGTTACTGTGTTTAGCATAGAAAATTTTGAATGCGTTCTGTTTGATTACAGCGGAAGAAGAACAGTACATAAAATTTTAAGCTAACTCATCAAGAAGAATTAGTCCAAACTTTTGCTTTTAACATAGCTCAGAAAATGGGAATTTTGTATAAGCACATTACTTTTGCCCGATGAGTTTACTCGATACGTTAAGAAGAATGTTAAATTACCTTTTTTAGATTCTTCTATCAAGCTCCACCGGCTTCAGCCAATCAGAACACAGGAGGCAGATAATGAGGATGAGGAAGATTCAGAGCAACTTGATGTTCATGAGAGGGAGACTGAGGAAGAGTTTGAATTACAACCGGTCAGTGTCACTCAGAGATCCACAAAGAAAACAAAGAAACAACACTTTGAAGAGGCGAAAATCAGAAAAAAGCGGAAACCCAAAGACACTGGGGACGAAGTGACCGTAAAAAAGAAAAAACAATCTGATAAGTCGAAAAGAAACTCTAAACATATTCTTAATGAAGCGAAAAAGAGTCGTTCTAAAACTCAACACGAGATAAAGATGGTTAATATCTCTGAGGATACGAAAGATGATGGAACAGGCAGCACTGGTCAGAGAAATTCCTTTACGAATGGAAAACGTGCTGGAAACGACGCTAGTGCTGAAACAGTGAACTCAAAATCAAAAGAAATTCGTGTGGACCCGACAAAAATTTTTAGAATCGAGGATCAAGGAAATGTTGGGAGTGATTCCCTTCAACAGAAGCGAATCGATATTCAGCAAGCGTTCGCCAATGATGATGTTGTAGAAGAGTTTATTCAGGAAAAGAAGGAGATAGAGGAGGCTTCCACACCAAAAGATGTAGACCTGAGTCTGCCTGGTTGGGGAAGCTGGGCTGGGGCAGGTATAAAACCATCTGTGAAAAAAAAGGAGAAGTTTATCAAGAAAGCCGACCCAGCCCCTCCCCGGAAGGACAAGAATTTGGCGCACGTGATTATTAATGAAGAGAAGAGCCAGTTGTTCAGTAGGAATCAGGTAAGGCTCGATTTTAGCGAAGTTTTCAATTGGGAAGGGGGGGGGGGGGGGGGGTCGAAGTAATTAGCGATTAAGTTGGTCCCTAGAGCGATTTTCATTGGGGTGTCGAAAGTAATCGGAGGTTGGTCAGATGTATGACCAAAACCAATCACGACTTTGTCGCCTGCGCTTTAGGCAGTTTGGTTGTCTTTAACGAAAGTTCTTATTAGTTTTTCAGAGTATTCCTTTCTTCTGATTCGTCGTCGTCATGATTTTGTTCACCTATTGATTGGTTCAAAAACTCCCGCCATCTTCTCAACTAACTTGGTCACTCGCGTTTTCCCGCGTCTCAGGCAGTTTCACTTTACTTTGATATCCCTTTGGCTCCTCGATGAGATGTTAACTGCTAGTCGGGTCGCAAGTCTTGGGCCCTCCTCCTTCTTTCTTCCAGAATTTCTTATAGGTAGTTAGGAAGTGACATCTCAAATCCCTTTTACTCTCTTTCAGGTTTCCTCGGTTCCCCATCCTTACGGAAACCATGTACAGTTTGAAAGGAGCGTGCGGAATCCTGTGGGTAAGCACTGGAACACAAGCACAACTTTCAATCAACTGACAAAACCACGTGTGTCGACTCTCATTGGCACGATTATAGAGCCCATGAGAGCGACTAAAGAAATCAAGCGGAGCCATCCGGAAGACAGGAAAAACAAGAAGTTGAAAGGAACCTCAGGAATTGCAATGCACAGCTGACAAAGAGAACTGTGTTGACTGATAACGTACATATTAAGATACGGAAATAAATTAATTAATTAATGAAACAACAGGCAACAAGCTGGTATTTATTGAAATCGATTGCAGTCAAACCTCCCCTAACTACCGACACTACTTTCGGGAAAGAACTTATTAAGATTTTTTATGGGGATGATAAAGCAAGAAATACCGTCACTAAATAATTGTTTCACTTTATTTTGAGTCTGCATTCCTCCTTCATCCCAGATCGAGGCAAAATATCCCTCAGAAAAAATCTTGGAAAGGTCCTCAACAGGCATGGAAATTAACAAGTTTGAAAACACCAAACATTTTTATTGTTTTTTGTAACATCTTATTTTGTTTTATTTTTGTTTGTTTGTTTGTTTTTTTGGAAAGACCAAAATGCATAATAATATCAAATGCGTTTCCCTCTTAAGTATCAAAAATGTGTAAAAAGAACCTGTTGTTACAACTGATTCTCAATAATTCCCTTGAAAAGATCTCGCTGTTCAACTCCGTAAATCAATTTGAACCTTATTATCTAAGTTAACTTCTTGGCCGTGTCACCATTTGGTGGGGTAGTGTTTCTTGTACCATTAGAAGGCTTCAATCCAAAACTGCTACCTTTCTTGGAGTCACTAAAGTGCAGCAGTACTTTGATCATGATAAAACCTGAAAAACGTGTTATAGAAGAATTACAAACAATTACACCTGTTACTTAGATAGCTTTACACCTATATTTTGGGGGATTATTTTCCCACGATGGCAAACGCCATTTGATGAAATGAAAAGACACTAGGGCACAACTTGTACCTCAATATGCTAAATTTAAATCGAGTTGCGCGCGCTGTTTACTATGTCTCATTGTTGCATCAAAATGCGCGCGGTTTGCACGTTGTTTCTCTGTTGCAACAAAGTCGCACGTGCTTTGCAATTTTCTCCTTTATTACATAAAATGGCGCACTTTATTTTGTTTGATTGATGCGCTCATGCTGCGCGCACACTTTGGATTTAGTTTAATTGTTGCACCATAGTTTTGTACATTTTTTATTTCTTGTTTCATTGACGCAGAAAGCCGCCCGCGCGTGCCGTTTTCTTGCTCTAGTGTGATGTCAAAGCTGCTTGCGCTTTTCATTTTGTTCCATTGTTGCAAAAATCCGCGTGCGCGTGCTCTGTTTCATCACCTCAGTGTTGTGCCAAAGCTTCATGCACATCTGATTTTGTTCATTGTTGCAAAAAGCCAACCGCGCGTTCCTTGTTCTATTGCTTCATTGTTCTGCCAAAGCTGGGTGCGCTTTTGATTTTGTTTCACTGTTGCAACAAAGCCGCCAGCGCGCTTTGGATTTTGTTCCATCGTTACGCCATAGCCGCTTGCGCACTTTCTTTTATTGGTTCAATGAAATACCAAAGCTGCGCGCGCTTTGGATTTTGCTCCATTGTTACACCAAAGCCGCGTTATGTTTTCTTTTGCTTTCTGTTAAACTAAGGTTAAGCGTTCTTTGTTACATTGTTACGCAAGTGTTCCTCGCTTTCTTTGTTTGGTGTGGGCTGCATGAGTTGGTAACTTCAGTGTATGACTACGTGGTTTCATCGCCTCAAGTTGTTTTTTTCCCTTCGTTTGAGTACGAGCACGTCATCAGAAAAAATTCTGTTAATCGATATACACTCACTAGTCACGAATTTCACATCAATCTCGGTGAAACTTTTACTTACCAACTAGAACAATTGTGGCAGCAATTAAGAGTGAGGTAATGGAGCCAGACAGTAATACAGACAAGATATACCAAAGAAGAGGTACACCCAAAAGTATGTTCCACAATATCGTTACGACGAGACTTCTGTTTTTCTTAGCATATTCAATTTCTTCTGCTGGAAATTTACCATGTTCAAAGAAGTAAGCCATTCCTTCGTCCTAGTAGAAATCGGGAAGGGAAACGTAAATCATCGAAATCAGTGTACTGGGAAAAGTAGAGACCAATTTTCCGGTGACTGCGAGGATAAACTATACCAGTCGGTGACAACCGCAAGAAAAGCGCGGGAAAATGTCAGAACAACACTATGGCGGGAAAAATGACCTACCAGGAGGCAACCAGGTAGCAAGAACACAACGGTCAAACGTCTGCGCATGTGCTAACGGTGTAATGTATAGGTGGCGTGCTTTCAGGCTGTCAGTGCCAAGTTATCTGACAGAAGTAACAAACAACCACACATGCAAGAAAGCAGTGTTTTAGAAGCGTATGACGTTTTTGACAACGCTCAAAACAAATTCCTACGAACGTTTTAATTTCTTTCGTACATTTTGCGAGACAGCGGTTGCTTGTAATGTCTTCCTTTGAAATTTTGCGCGGGAAATTGGCGCACGGCCTTCCAGGATTGATTCCCTCGCGCATGCCCGACGTTTAACCGCTGTGTTGGCAATAGGTAATCAGAGAAAAAGTGGGAAAACAGGTCACTCAGAAACAAACGGTGAACAGTAAAACTGAAAAAAACGAAGAGCAGAAATGATGTAAGTGTGAATTTTAATACCTTTTTTTGGAAGGCCTTTCTGCACCACTTGGAAGTTTCCTCAATATCGTCACACGGAATGTCTTGAATAGGAGTTCTCCTGGATTAAACAAAAGCAGAGAGTACAGACCGGCATTAGGTTACTGGTGACAAGCCTGTTCGTCCTCCTAAGAGGCAGAGTGAGAGTAGTGTCTTTCCCTAGAACAAGACACTACCTCCCATCCAAGTCACAAGCGCTAACCGTTGGGCCAGTGCCTCTTTCACCGTCCATGGTAGGTCACCCATCTTTCTCCATTTTTATCAAATGTTACGTTAACATTACCTGGCCCACAGGTGCACCTCGTCAGCTTCTCCCTTTACCATACTAATCAAGTTTGGTTCCTTTCCTTTGAGAAAAGCAACTTCGAAGTCATATACAGCAGGGACTAAAATAAAATCACAACATAAAAACCATCAGCAACAACAACAAAATAAAATCAATCACAAACAGACCATGGCTTTCCTATAGAGACCTCCAGTGTCCTGTACCCTAATTTCCTCTGATATCATTGATAGGGCACATACCATGGCTTTCCTATAGAGACCTCCAGAGTCCTGTACACTAATTTCCTCTGATATCATTGATGGGGCACATACCATGGCTTTCCTATAGAGACCTCCAGAGTCCTGTACACTAATATCCCCTGATATCATTGATGGGGAAATATGCCCCAATCCTCTTTTCCCTTCTCACATATGCCTTAGGAGGGAGAATGGTTACCAGGCAGTTTGCTACCACCCCATTGACATTTAATTTCCATCATGCTAAGGCCATCATCATCACTCACTACTCACTAAAGCAAACTGAAATGTTTACATTGGGGGAAAAGGGTGTAAGGGTAATTTTTATTGCATGTATGTTTAGAACCAAAGAGTATGGCTTTCACTTTACCCAAAAGTTCAAAGACGGACTACACTTCCAAAAATAGCCCTCAAAAAGAGAAAGTTGGATATCAAAGTTTTCTTAACAAAGTAGAAATCTGAAGTGAAATTCAACATTTTCCATAGGTACCTTTGTCTCTAAGATAGTGGACAGTAAGAGAAAACCCTTTTGATCGTGGTAATAAATGGTGTTTTAATTCTGGCAGACCATTTGCCCTAGCATATTCCACACTAGCCTGTACTTTAGCCTCTGTAAGCCTTGTTCCTTCTGCAAAAATGACCATCTAAAAGTAAAAAAAGAGGGCTATTTAACTCTCATTAATTTGAGAACTGTGGAAACAATTGGTACGGTTTCCACTTTATCTAATTACTTATGAGTAGTATTTATTGTCATTAGCAAAGAGTTAGAAAAGTCACTTTGAGTAATCAAATCCTTAACCAATTGACCCCTATAAGCAACAAACATCTAATTTATCCTCACAATATTACACCAAATCACACATTAAGGGTGCAAGAATAAAGGAAATGATCACAAACTAAAGGAGCTCTTGATTGTTAAACAACTTCTCCTTGTCAGCACCTTAGGAAGTGTTTAGAGAACAGTAAGGAGAATATGCATAATGACGTTAGGGTGTGAAGGTTTAAAATACTCCCCACTTTCCAAGAAATTTGCTTAAAATAAACTGAATAATTGCAAGCATCAACCAAACCTCTGTAAAACCAACTTGTACACTTTGGTCTTGGAAAATTGTGCATCTGTTACTCATCAACTAATTTTTTATTTTCATTAAACAACAACAAATACTTTCATCTGTACAAATTATTTCATATAATCTTCACATCATTTCACTGCACGGGAAGATATGAACTCAATAAATTGACCTCGCTACCTAAGCAACATCTCCCAATATCTCCACTTAGATTATGTTTCACACTAAAAGATAATTACCAACCCAAAATGGAAATGGAAAATCTTGAAGTGTATTTAGACTCTTCTCAAGTAATCTTTGGTCCTTTTGCCAGTTTCGTTGTAAGAAGACAAACTCTGTGCACCACCATGAGAATCCCATTATTGGTAGAAACTTTAAGTAGCCCTTCATGTAGCACTTACAAGTCTGTGACAAAAAAAATCATTACCTCAATTTTGCAAAATTTTCCAATCAATATCATTACAGCCTAGCATTGATTTAAATAACCAAACTCAATTTTCTGGACTTTTACTGGTTTCATTAGCAATTATCACTTTATTTAGTTCAGTTACTTACTTGTTTTTAGGATGACAGGGAGGGTAGCATTGCCCAGTGTTTAACAGATGGGACTCACAGCCCAGACTTTTTTTTTTCCTGTGATCTGGACCAATCACAGAGTGAAGAAAAGAAAAACCAATCTAGTGATCATTTTCGATACTCAATCAGAAATTTCTCTGTTTTCTGTGATTATGATGTATGACACTCAGTAAGGTAGATTGAATCTAGATAAGGGCACACCCACTCACAGTAACATTTAAGTCTGGACTCAAGCCAAGAGGCATCCAGCCATAGTTTATTCCACTTTCCACAGCATGAGGCAACTAGGGATATTACTTATTCCTCTTGCAGCTACAGCCCAGAATTTCATCATCCATCCAATGGCACCCATTTATGCTCCAGGTTACAGAGAGGCACTTTAACCCTTCAACTCCCAGAAGTGATTAACATGGAAATTCTCCTTATAATATCCATACATTATCCTGCAAACAGGTAATGAGAAAACTCCAACTTATCAGGTAGAGGTTGTTGTCTTGATCTAACACTAAATTCTCATAACTGATTTACAAGGAAATATGTAGCAACTAGAAGGGAGAATTAACAAGCAGATCTTGGGAGTTAAAGGGTTAAAAGTTAAGTGTTTTGCCCAAGAACAAGAAACAATGACCAGTCCAAGTCTTGAGCCTGAACCTCTCAACCTGGTGTCAATTAGGCCACCACAGCTTCCACACTCGCTCGCATTACAGACAGATATTTACCGCCAGCACTCCTACTCTCTCAGCAAGTGTATATCCAATCAACCAATCAACATCACTGCGATGGTTTGCCAGGCAGATAGCACTCTCTTTTCCTAGTTTGTCAAAGTCTTCCTTTGTTCCATAAAGCTTGATATTCATACCTGACCAACAATCAGCAAGGAATGTCAACTCTGTAAATTAAAAACAAAAACAAAAAAACATATTACATTATTTGCAAGAATAAATTGCATATTACAGAAGAAATTATGATCCAGATTTCTTAATTATCTAGACTTTATCTTTGGTTCTAATTCTGTCGTGAATATTGTCAACAGTGTAGGTCTCTCTTTTCCTGATGTTGAGGACTGGCTTTGTGTTGAAAATGAGCACCCAACTTCGACACAGTTGTCCAACGAGTAAATTTTAGAGAGTGTTGTTGGACAATCTTATTTCAAAGAAGAAAGAAGCAGCAATGAGGAAGATGAAGGCCAAGATGAGAAAATTTTTTTAAACTCTGAAGCCATTGAAAGTTTTAAAAGACTGTTGGATGGAAAGTTTTAAAAAAGACTGTTGGATGGAAAGACAGAACAATGCTGATACTATCCAGATTATGCAGCTTTGAAGAATGATGGAACTCTCAATGCACATGCAATGTTCTTCTTTGAGACAAACTGACTTCAACATTTTAGGCTGATGTTAAAACATTTTTCATTAATTTAAATTTTTTAATACACACCTGTAGAGATATTCACAATGGATAGTGAAGGTATAGACCATATATTTTTCAAACCAATTTGTAAATGTTTTGTTTCATGATTAAATGATGCTTTCTTAATTTAATCAGTTTTTATCCCTCATTAATATTCATATTCTTGATTATCTGGACTTTTTCGTCAAGTCCCTATATATCTCCTAGGGAGATAAACAGTTATATATAAAGATGCTTTATGACCACAGAGCCTGCAATTTATTACAATCAAACTTTGATTATCTAGACCTCTATCATCTGGATTTTTCAAATATCCAGACTTGTTTCTCTGATCCAATTTTATATGAATACTAATACATCACATTTGAGATTGGAAACAAATTTTTTTTATATCAAAGAACATGGGATTAAACTCCCATTGGAACTGAATTTATTCCACTTTTTGAAGCTGTCAAATGTTTTTTTTAATGTTTTAATAAGCATTTAACATGGCAGGAAAAACAAAACAAACTGATTTTCACCAACATTTTCAGTTGCTGAAAAATGTTTTGGTCAGCTTTAATAACTTTGTAAACACTTTTGGCAAATGTTAGCAGTTTATGCACGATAATTTGAGATTTGCTTTAATTCTTCATAATATTGCTAAGTTATCTCTTTTGAGTGATGCATTTTATTCTTGGCTCATTAAACGTCATAGTTAGATTATCCTGACTCTGGACTATCCAATGTGGATATCTGAGGTTCAATTGTGACTAAAAATGGAAACAACCTTTGAAAAGTGTTTGGTTTGAACTTTCATTGGTGCAAAAGACAGGAGAAGAATCAGAGGAAGGCATCTGCAGCTTGTCAGATCCTGTCTTTTTTGTTTACAAATTTTATTGTGAGTTATTATAAATCAAATGATAACTCCTATTTGTTCTTTTAGGAGTAGTGCTGTTTTCATGCCCAACAGAGAGAGGATTCAAATTTGTTATACTGATTACATAAATGTCGATGATATGTGACTTTTCCTATTAGTCGCTATTTTGAGAAATGCAGGGTTTTTATAGAGAAAAAAAGTTAAAATTTATAATCTGGCTAAAATATTGGTGGCACTTTCCAATTAAAATTGATGATTATTACCAGCTATGAACAATTAAGATGGGATGTTGAGTTAATAACAACATAAAATAACTACACCCACACTCCAGACAATCTGGCTGGAAATTATGCAAATTAAATAACGACACAAAAAGGTTTGTTATAGCGAAAAAAAAAACCACATCAAAAAAACATCTCATGAGCCAGTAAAAAAAATTAGCCCTTCAAGTAAACAGCAAATACAGAATGTTTGGTGAGTTTAGTTTCCAAGTATTTTTACAAAAACCATATAATTTAATTTAATCAGCACAATTTGTGACCTTCCAGAAAAATCCAGTTTAATTCCATGAAAGAAGTGTTTTCCAAACAATATAGCTCTGGTTCATTGCCAAACAAAGTTTATGTTGGCAAGGATGGAAAAATTCCCAGAAGGTAAGATTACCAAATGAACAGTCAAAAACACAACTCACAAATGACCACCAGTAAATGATACAAATTTAGGATCAATTTACATATCATTGCAAAAGTGCAAGATAAAATTAACAAGAATGCCTCTAACATTGATTTTGGGAGAAAAACGAATTAAATTCTACCTGAGAGATATTTCTTAGTTTTATTTGAGTGGTTCCACTAGCTGAAAGGTCACCACAACCACCTACTAGAGATAAAATTACCTTTATTAATAAAGGGTAAAAATGTTCTGGACTTTGATAATCAACCACTTAGTACAGGGTGACCACTTAATATGGTGCCAGTTGATACAGTTTCGACTGTACACCTTTCTTTGAAGATGTTAGTATAATTTTGTGATCTTAATTTTTGAAAAGGAGAAATTCAAACCTGAGTTTGGTAGATTATAGCAACAAAATGAAAATGGCAAGTTTGTAATTTTTTCCTCTCTATATTTGCAAGTAATACTTCAAATATATTTGAAGGCTTTGGTGCAAAAGGGCATGCACTCATATTTTCATTGTTTGCTGTTACAAGCTAATTTTTGTCAAACTAAAGTATTTTGACATAAAAAGCATTTTTCCTTCACTGTCAAGGCTGATTTTAAAAAGGAACCACCTCACAAAAAAACAGAATTTCTGGATAAATGTTACATTCTAAATAATGAAGCACATATCATCCCTGAAAATACTGAAGGACCTGTTATGACAGGTTTGATCTGTTGTAAGTAGTTCCATGCAGTACAATTTCTGGACTAAACACTAGATCCCAGTTAAATGCCAGCCTCATATCAACGATGGAGCAAATTAAAACCTCCCATTCAGAAATAAAACTGTGCAAGCATTTAATTGAGGCCCCAGGATTGGGTCAAGATCCCAGCCTTTATTTGCTGCTAAGCTAACAGGTAATTTCACTTATAGAAAAGCACAGTTACTGATTCCATATGTGTGATTGTTTAATTGAAAGTAACAACACTTGCGAAGGGGTAAATGAGAGTTTGCTAGAACTGGATGCAATAAAAAATGTAGGCATTTTGTCCACCTAACCCTAGGTCTCAGATGATGGAGAGTAAAAAATCATCTAAAAAAATTGCACTTGATTGATAAACACCACACCCTAATTAAATACTTGCATCATACAAGCACTAGGCTCACCAGCCAAGTTGGAAATAAACACCTCAGGGATTTCACTGATAAATTATGGAAAATTATATTCCTTAATACTTACGGCACCAATGTAGGTAGACCAAATTCAAATTGAGCCACCTAAACAAATCCTTTTTTATGAGCCACAGTGGTAACAAAAGAAGCTGAACACAGTTGATGATTACACCACTAGCTAAGAAGACAGTAACCAGCCACAACCATATCAGAGGAAATTTCTTTATACTGTGTTTAGGTGCCATCGTACTTATAAACCAGTTAAAACTCCTTTCCCAGCTCTATCCTAAAAAAAGAAAAAAAGATTTACAAAACTTGACAAGAACATTGTTTCATTCTCTCTCAGATCTTTAATCCTACAAACTCTAAGAGTGACCAGGAACTAATTTCTCCTGACAGCAACATTGTTGAATCATTCATTAAGATCATGAGAACAGAGGAAATGACGACCATGTTTGAGAAGTACAATGAAAGAACACTACTCTCTCACTTATTGGAAACCTGATCTAAATATTACGTTAGTTTTTTTTCCACCTCTCTTGTTGGATACATGTTAGGTGTGAAAGATTCCATGCCACAGGCTCTACCTTCATGCATAAATTTCAGATTTGCAAACTTGTTGTGTTAGCTGTATTGCCTGCTACATTGTTGAGATCACTTGCCACATTTGTACACCCATCTGTGAGCAACTTGTGTCAGACAAGGCTGTTCACATTTATAGGCATGTCCTAACTTATATTCTGCAGAATCTTTCCTGATTTTGGATACTGCTGCCTCAATTGTTTGAATTACGATAAAAGGCCTTAAATAACTAATTGGAGAGATCAACTCTAAATCAACAGTTAAAACAACAGGATTGATCCTTTCCTTTCAATTGTTTTTTGATTATCTTGATTTTTTTGGATAGTTATCATAACTGTGGATAGTTTGTTTTGTTGTTCTCTTGCTTTGATTTCTTATATTACCACTGCTCTTCTGTGCTTCTGTTGTATTTCATTCAAATTGTTAATGAATTGGTTTACTGCAATCTTTTAAAGTTAGGTGATTTCATGAAGTATTTGTGAAGTGGGAATTCCAATTGAACAACAAACATTTGCTACTGAAGATGACATGGAGACATCAAAACTTCTTTAGCAGACTAAAAATGTTGTCACTCTGTTCATTTTCCCACAGTGTTGATATTTTTAACTCGTCACAAAGACATCACTAATTTTTCAGCTTCCCCTTCACTAGGTGACCGCCAGTGGAAAGCATTTTAACTGTGGTTGGGTTAAAAAACCACAAAAGTCATATGTAATCGATGAAACGTGTCTACTTGCAAGGAAAAACAGGAAGTGTGTCTCACTTTCTCAAAGTGAACATTGTTCTACCATAATTCAGCCATGTAGAGATTTGAATTGTTTTGGCCAAATAATTAATTACCATATGTCCCCTCCCATAGATTGAGTGCTCATACATATCAAAAATTGTCTTGGAAACAAACATTTTTGTACCAGATATGGAAACATGATCATCGGGCTCTCTTGCAGCCAAAATATTACTTAACAAAGGAATAGAGGTTTGTGCTAATGTCTATAATGTCTACCATAATTTCCTGTAAGGTGTTGCAGATATAATCATCTCACCCCTATAATGGACTTTTAAAATACACCTAAAAACCACTGAAGACAGATTTTTATTTTGCTGAGAACATCCCCTAGGGTGACTGTCTAAAATAAATCCTGAAATAAATTCAAGTCTCTGATCTATTTGACAATGTAATATATCTCTGTCAATTAAAGATGGCCCAGGAGGGAACCCTCAGGTAATTGTGGATGCGTCACATGGAAAGACATAAGTAAACTTTAATATAAATTGGCTAATCTTTCTACAAAGAGGAAAATCACGAGTCTAATCTGCTTAGCATTTTTACTCTTTTTGCAAGCATAAGACCTAAAGGGCAATTTTCCTCAAGTGAGATGTGGATGATAGTCATTAACCATGACCTCATAGAGAAAATATTCAACTGATCGTCACAAGACCGACGTAGGGCCAAAGAGCTTCGTACAACAGACAAGCCAATTTTTTCAAAAATCTTTCACCTAAAAGTTTACTTCAAACTGTTGTTAAGAATATTGACGCCTTCAATTTTCCTGGTACAGCCGTTCAAATATATATGTATTCCAAATATATTTGTATTTACAATAGAAATCCTCTTGGCAAGTTCCGATTCAGGAAAGAGCTGGATAAAGTATCAGTTTTAAACTACCTTGTACGTAATGACGCCGACGACATATATTTTAAAAATTTGGGGTTCGTTCTATCGACATAAATACCTGATAACATGGTTCAGAAAGCTTAAGAGTCACCCAAGGCACTACAAGGCCGTTTTTTCCTCCGATGAGTCTTATAAGAAAAATATCTGTATTCATTTTAAACTTAAACTTTGGCCTCTATGATGTGCGCATGGAATAAACACGTGTTACACATTGTTGATGAACGGTTTTTCGAGCGATCGCTGGTAAATATTGCAAAAGTTTTTGAAACTGTTGACGTTAAAAGAAAACACGACCTTTGCACAAAACGAACTTGAAGAGAGGTGTCTAAAAACCACACACTAACCTTGGTTGACACAAGCTAAGAACAAATGAACAGACCGCCACTTCCTTCTCCTGCTTATATGACGGCATACGCAGTATGTCGCCTTCCGCTGACCTATCAAATGCGATGCCTTCCCTCCATTTTCCCAAGAGATGCACCAAAAGGAGACGTTTGTAATTAAGATCTGGCAGTTCCCGCGACACCAATTCGTTCCTTATGCATTTCGCCGTCTCGATTCCGACTTTAGGCCAACAACATCACATGCTAGAAAATAAGCCGTCACGCTGTCTTGCGCTGATCACGTGCGTTATTCAACTCAGTGACAAGTTTTATTAGATTTGAATCAGCTCTGATCATCGTTTTTGTTGTCTATTCCCCGTTTTTCTGTCCCATCTGATCGGAAAAAACATGAAGCAACTGATATATACACAATGATCCATTTCCTGTTCTTGAAACGACGGAAATTAATAGTCAATGTAACGAGTATCTATTACAATATTAAAAAATTATATCTGATAATTTTCAAGGATTTATTCTTGACCTGAAAGTTTGGCGAAATCGTCCCGATTAGGTCCTGATTTGGCTGCTGTACTCGAAAGGCTTCCTTTTAGTAAATCCTATTTGTTCCAAGTACATGGAAGCTGTAAAATCAAGGAACCAAATCGGTGGGTTAGGCCCAAAACCTTAAACTCGACGTGACCATGTGAATCAATGTGGTCAACCCCTTACTCTCAGTTGAAAAGGCCTCCTCATCGATTAACTGGACTTTGTCCGATTTAGATTGCGTGATCAAGATGGACTGATCGAAAAACAAACCTTTTTTTTTGTTGTTCTATTAATAGGGCTTGACGATCGAAGGTTACTCTGAACTTTGTAGTTGCAAGAGGAACGGCACTGAGGTGAAAACATTTATTCTTCCGGTGTAACGAAAACAAAGTTATGATTCAACCAGCCGAAAAAATGTAAGTATCAAAATTGTGACACTTACCAAAAACACAGAGTAGCTAATGAGGAAACAAAGATTTCAAAGCTGAAAGTAAGTTTTCAGAGCTTATTCTCCATAGTGATTTCATAATTCATCCTATCTAAAACTACCTCGGTTGGTTTTGTCTGAATTTTTTAGCAAAACAATGACGAAATACCTTGTAAACAATTCTAAAATGGGCCAGTAGGAGGAGAGTTGAATAATCAAACTGAGTTCAGTGATATAAAACATCCTAGGCTCCAGTTCAGATCGTTGTTTCAAAATGAATGAACACTGAATTGTTGGCATCGTTGTGGTTTTGGGTGCCTTTGTTTTTTTTTGTGACGAATTTTTCCTTCAAGTCCTGTTTTATCTCCATCGCCTCGAAACTGTCAATTCATCAATTCGTCCCGTCTCATCCCTGCGAACTATTTTCAGTTCCAAGATTGAACAATTCGTTCAGTGATATTTCAGAGAAATTTGCTCATTTCTTCGTCGAGCGGACGTAGAAAAACTTTACGTAACAGTTCAATAGATATCCAGAAAAGGTGAATCTTTTTATCATTATCAATTTCTTTACTCACCGTACTTTCTTAACGGAGCTTTCCCAGAGCAACTTTGTGTAAGTGACTTTGTTTCGGTGAACACCCCACAGAATATGTTTTGGTTGATGCGCCATTGAAGTGCAGTACTTCTTTTCTGTTCCAACAATTTTTTTTTTTGAGGGGGGAGGGGTGAATAAGTGTTGAGGTTTGTCAGACATATTTTTAGTGTTAAGCTTTTTTTATTTGGCCCGCAAATTGGCGATTCCACTACTATAATTTGACGAAGAAAACCTGGCCGATCAGTCAAGGTAGTCAGTGACTAATCTTTTCTAATTACAATGGCACATTCGTGTTCCAATACTCTATTCTAAAGGGCTGTAAGTTTGTCTGTGGCATGCTGATGCACATACAGGAGGCATGTTGTTGAGCGCGTGGATGTCTCGACTATTTAGCAAAGGTGCGCATTTGTAAAATCACTTGTCAAAAATGAAAATCAACGCGTTTCTGATATTTTTGTTGCAGGCTAAACTACCTTTGCATAAGGCAGGAATTTGTCCACTTTTTTGCAACAACAAAAACTTTGCCGACGAAATCTATACGTAACTGGCTTGCAATGCTTTACGTAATATTTTGTTGCCAGAGGATTATTTGCTATAAATTTTGAGCCTTTGAAACAGTATCTAGGCGCTTAATTCCGGCATGTTGCACGTAGTACAAAGTGTTCTTTTCTTCCTCATCATCCTTCGGATGGGTACTGCAATTTGAATCTGCTGAGATCAGTTTATGGCCATCAAGATAGAAATAGGTGAAGTGTTTACTTACTCCACTGACATGGCTTTCTTTCGAAAAGTCGAGTGTGATAAGTGAGTGAACTTCTTGAGCTTGTCCAAAGTTCACTCCTGTAATTTCATTATCCGATCAGCGGAAAATTGTTTGTGTTTTCTCCTCATTTTTTGCGCAAAAAAGGAAATAAATACATCAATAACAGAAAACCTTGAAAAAATGAGAATTTTTTAAAGAGAAGCCCCGCTGTCTTACCTTAACGCCCGCCCTACTGTTTCCAAGCGAGCGAACGACTGGGAACGAGACAGACAAAACTACGTGCTCGGGTCGAAGTCCTTAGTGAAAACAATGGCGACTGCTGCGTGTCAAACTTTCATGTTCTTAGCCTAATCATAAGGAGTTTTCGGTGATAGCTATCAACTGACTCGATTGACATTTTCATCAGATATAAAAGAATAAACAGTTTGTGTATCAGCAGAAATTTGGACTGACCTTTAATGATACAATCGATGTTTCATTTGGGAAACCTCACGCACAGTTGTAAAAGCCAGCTTTCAAGCTGATCAGCAATATATGATAATGGCTCGTTTTTCAGTTTTGTTTTTTCCTTTTTTTTTTTCCTTTTGTTTTTTTGTTCTTTCAATAAACTAGTCGTTTTTTTTCCTTCTCTGTCCTAAACTCACAATCGCAGTAGGGTGTGTTTCTTTTTCGGGGCGTCGGAAGGAACTTACCTGCTCTCATCATAATCATCAAGACTGAAACACTGATATTTTGTACTCTGTAAGTTTGTGCTTTTCATGCGAAGACAGGGAAGACAGACATTTTTCTATATTGGCTTCATTTCCTTGGAAACAGAAAGATACTCGGGCACTTTTCTTTCCACTCTATATTTAGTTGCGCAGGAGATATGAGATAGCATGGGCTGCCCTGAAGGCAAAGAAACTCTTATTTAGCCTGTGTTGCCCGATATCACATCAGTTTTTGAAGGAATTCTATTCAAACTTCAATGGTTAAAAAAAATTTAAAGGGTGTTTCAACCTTATCATTTACAATGTTGCATAGAAAGTTCTACTGATCGAACGGTAACACAGTAACGCCTGGTCAATGTGAGTGAAATATTCAGGGTTGTAGTGGAAATTCAACAGTTTTAGATACCGAAATATTCCTATATTAAAGGTTTACTTTGAGTGCATGCCTTTCATTCATTTTAAAATCATGTGAGATTCATCCAAAACTTCGCTTAAAGACCCTTGAATCTTAACGCGCCAATCACTGGCCACTGGTTTATCAGCCTCTCACTGTTATCAGAGAATCAATTTCGTAATGGAGCTAAGGCTGGCTAAAAAAGACAGTCCGGCGTTGAAGTCTGTTCGTAACAACAGGTTGTCTGTAATAAGGAGTAAACGCCTTCGACTAAGACAAAAGAAGCCCGTTGGTGGTCGTATTATCGAGAGTTCACATCGAAATTGTACGCGAACAGTTCAAGGTACTGAAATATTTACTGTACTAGACTGAGTCGAATAATCTTAAAAATCGACGGAAGAGGGTATGTAGCGAATTTCCTGTTTTCAAACTGAAAAGTTTTTTTCAATTGTATCATATCGCAAGTGCACCTAAGACTAAAGCTTTCAAGAATCCGTCAATCAAATTGTGATTCGTTATTGCCTTTGGAAATGAAATCAGTTCAAGTCAAACACTTGGCAGGTTTCACATAGCTGGAGTAATTGACGGTGCTGTTCGTCCTTGGTTTGAAACACTTTTATTGAAAAAGGACCACATATCACCTATTCTTTTCACCGTGTTGACCTCTCGGTACTGTTCGTGTCATCGGGAAAACTCGTTCTACTCGGAGACAGCCGTAATACCAGACAGTGGTAATATTACTTTGTTATTATAATTAACCTTATCATCGTGACATTTGTGTGATATCAAATTGAAAAACCTCTGCAAAGCGAGAACTCTTAATTGTCGGGTGTCGATCACACAGAACCTAAACCTAAACAACGACAAAAGCTACACTTTAAACCCACGAGAATAAGCTCAAAGATTCAACAAAGCTACAACACGCTGTGAACGTCTGCTAGTCCAAATAAGTCGTGCTAAAATGAAAATTTCGTCTTCCAAGAGGATAAATCCATCTTGAATCAGAGTTTATTTTCAAAAAAAAAAAGCTAATATTTACGCCTTTTTATAGCCAATGGCAGCTTTCAAACAACAAAAAAGAAAGACATGGTTTCTAATGCGTGACACAAACTCCTAACACGAGTTTCTAGAAAATGCAAGTTATTCTCAGACCAATTCATGCGCGCAACCGAATGGTCTCCCATGACGAACTGGTAATAATTTACAATGAAAATATTTTCAAACGGTGTCTGTTTCTGCCCAACAGTGGAAATAGCTTCCAAGAGTCAATGTTTGCTTTTGAAGGCACGCAACGAAAGGAAAAAAATAATAATACTAAAACTTTAAGTTTTTTTTCTTATCAAAATTGAGTCGCGTGGCACTGAGGCATGTTCAAGATTGGTTTTCTTTCCACTTTTGCCTGTAGGCAGTTTTCAACGGGTACCAGCTATTTTTAACATCTCCGAGTTCCTATTTTCATAGCCACTATTCGTATCCCTTTTTTTTTATGTAGACAGCTGTTGATACTTTGCTAAACACAGGAGCCCTGTATCACATGGATGTTACTTTATCGACCAAGTTTGATTGAGGCAGACATCTCCTCTAGATTGTTACGCGAAGGAGACACATTCAAAGCAATTGTAATATTTTTGATGGTTTGTTTGCGTCCAAGACCCGAGGAAGGTTAGTTAAAATACGTGACCGCGTCCTAATTGTTCTACCATGGGGGGGGAAGCAAGACAAAACAATTTTTTAACTCCTAGGTACAAAGAATAACCATCTTCTAGACAATATATTGACTTAATGAGTCCTACGTTTAGAGAATATATGAATAACATATGTTGCAAGAACCTCGGTTAATTATTCGGGTGCATTTCGAAAAGTAATTAAGAAGACTAGTTTGTTCTAAAACA